TGTGGAGAGCTGCTCAAAGAAAGCGTCATTTTTTTATTCCCCCAGAAGTTTGCTACACTGCAGAACAATAGGGTCCTCCTTAGTAAGAGGCCACTAGAAGTACTGAATACATGAAGGTCTCTCCAATCTTTTTTGGCTGTTTTGAAAAAGTGCCTTAAATAATCAGCTCTCTTTGAGCCAAAAAGCTGCACCCACAGGAATGAATGTTACTTAAGTCAGGGCAGCAGACTTGGGAGTTTAATGTTGTAAAAGCAGCTGAAATTTTCCTTTATCACATTTTCATTCAGCCAAGTGTTGCTTGCATCCTGGTTTCCCTCTTCTCCTTTAGCAGCTTCATGCTTGGCTCTCTTTACTGAGAACAAGGACAGCCCCCCTGAACTCACTGAGTGAGCAATGAGCTGATAAAAGTTCTCTTCATTATGGACAAAAAATCTGTTTAATCAGTGAACCATGTTAAGAACATAGGTAGTTATAAAACAGCATTCTATTCAAAGGGACTATGATTTTTACCCTTAATATTTACTTTTAAGATCTCTGAGGATGAGAATGACAAGCAGATGACACAGCTTTAATCAACAGTATTAATCAACCTTGATCTCTGCAGATTATGGAGCAATACTTGGGATAACCTATTAATAATTTGTGGTCTTTGTGGCTGAAATTATGCCAAACTCAAAATTTTGTCCTTCAGCTTCCCATGGCTGAAAATACTGTTCCACTCAGCTCTGTAATTGTGTCTGTGATTGCCTTTTCCTGGTAAATTCCTATAATTAGTTTTGGGAGTAGGTCTCCAAAGTGCTACCCTTTAGTTCTCCATTACAGGGGAACTTAAAAGAGACCCTTCTGTCCCTGGAGCTGTCCCTGGAGCCAACCACGCTTCTGTGTTTTGTTTTGGTTTGGTTGTTTTGTTTTTAAAATCAAGGAAATAAATTCATTGCTACACACTATGTTCCGGATCAAACCATGAACTTTTTATGAAAGCTTAAAATTAAAAAGTGTTTCAAGTTAATACAGCGTGAAGATTTGCAGAATTTTAATAGATAAAAAATAATAGACAATTTTAATTGGAAATTATTTTGTTCTTTCAGCAAGAACAGTCTCTGTCTTGTTCAGTAGCACCTCCTGGAATGCCTTTGATCCCTTTACAAATATTATTACCTTTGTAAGTGCATGTCACTAAGGGTATGAGAATTGGGATTGTTCAGCCTGGAAAAGAAAGGCCTTGGAGTGACCTACTTGTGGCCTTCCAGCACCTGAAGGGAGCCTACAGGAGAGATGGAGAGAGGCTATTATAACTGCATGTTTTAACTTTTCCTCATAATGTGCCATTTAAGATTTGTGTGCTAACCTTTCAGCCTTCATGAGGAACTGTTTGGTTTTGGGTTGTTTTTTTTCTCAGTGCACTGCATGGATGGGATTTCATTCATTTCTAAGAGAGAGATTCAAAATTGTTTAAATCTTCTCTCCATCTGTGCTCAATCTATGATTCTTGGAGTTGTACTTTTTTTTTAAACTAAACTCAGAGGATGGAAAGATTTTGTATTCATACAATATTTCAGTAAGACTTAGGAATAACTGTGGTGTGTAATTTCTGAAGTTTCAAACACTGCTTCCTCTTCCCAACAACTGTGAAATACAAAGGAAATTATTTTGCATATAAAGAATCTGATCATCCAAACATCATGCTTCTAATGAAACATAAATCAACTACAAAGAGCTTACTTAGTTTTTCCTAAAGGAAACAAATCAGTCTGAGTTATTTTTCTATGTAATTAACAATGTTTGCTGTTTTAAGTAGAGAGATCAGAGTTGTTCAAAGCGGTTAAGATTAGAGCAACATCAGCAGTTTTTCTGTTTGCTTTACTTTTATTCCTTCTGGCATCAGAGCTAATTTCTAATCAAGTAAATGTGTTTGAAAGTATGATTCAGGGGGGATGATACATTTCTCCATGCTAACTGCCTAAAGCTGGCTTAATAAAAAGGATATTGCACACAATGACATTTTTCTAGTGGGTATAATTATCTCTGCAGCAAGCAAGTGAATGATGTATTTCAGGATGTGTGTTTGGATGATGACAGGCAGATTGGGCACATTAATAAGCCAGGCTGTTCACCAGCAAGCCTCTTTTTCTGGTACATCAGAGGCCTGTGATGACAGTAGAAGCTGCCTTCTGGTGGCTCTTACTTCTCCTTTCAAAATATCTCATCCTTTAGGCAGATACTCCTTTGGCAGAATTAAAAATGGGGGCCCACTGCTGCCTCGTTTGCCAATGTCATCTTTTCTGATAGAGCCCCAAGAAGCAGAAGATCCATGTACAGAAATCCAGACTGCACCTTCTCTTGTAACATCCAAAGAACATATTACTATTTGGGATTGATGATTCAGTCCAAGGTCGGTACAGACCCCACTGAAGCCACTGGGAGTCTGTGCTTGCCAAAATCTACCACTGAGTCCAGTGTGTCTTGGAGCAAGCCCTTCAGGGGCACTGAACCCCCTGGGAAATGGAAAGCAAAACTGATTAAACAACAACTAAACACAATCAGCTTTCTGGACCTCCCTCCACAAAATCTTTGTGGCTTTAGAGCCCTACCCCAAAGAGCAGGAGCATGGATGACAAAGGTCTTTACTTTAAATCTCATCTGGCTCAGCTCAATAGCAATTAGCTCCTGCCTCTGCTTCTGTGGGCCTCCTGCACTCCACAGCTGCAGCAGCCAGGCCTTGTTGCCCAGAAGAAATTAGACAATTATCTCTGGGAATTTATTTCCCAGCAAGAATATTCACTTCTCACTTCTCCCCAGTACTTCATCACCAAGATGCACAGCTGTTGAAGGACTATCCAGATCTCAGTCCAACCTACTGTCATGTTTAATAGTTCATCACTGCAAGAGTTTCATGAATGCACGTTTTCCAGATATATCTCCAGCCTGTGTTCCCTCTGGTAATCCCTGCCTGGAATCACAAATTAAGACACATATGCATATAAAAATCCCCCAGTTCATTTAGAATAGTTAGCAAAAAGACATTTCTTGTAGAAGGAAGAGTTGTCTTTTGCATTCTGTTTGTGTGGAGGCTTTTGCTGCAGTCCTTCCAGCAGAGTTGTCTCAGAAAACAATACCTGGGCAGTGGAGGATGCAGGAATGATGTATTTTTGTAGGTTTCACTACCACTGATTTGTGCTGTGACGGTTGGAGCATCACGAGTTTGCCATCTGTAATGGGCACCATTTGGGCAAAATGTGTCTTTTTTTAAGGGAGGGAATAAAGAGTGATGACATGAGAACCTGATGATATGCTCAGTTTTCCATCTGTGTTTCCTTCTAGAAATCTTGAACTTATCTGTTCTTCAGCTTCCTCATTTCATAGAATCTCATCTTTCAACAGCCATTTCCATCCAGAATTACTAGTGTTTCATGTACCATCTAGGGTGCTTTGCCTAATGTTTTCAAAACCAGCTGCAAAGTATAAATCTCTGGCACCTCATATTTTTAAATCACTGTATCTGCTTCCCTACCAGTTGTACAAAGTGTTTGAAAAAACACAGCATTTTCTCTATGGTGGAAAAACATTTTAGTCTCTGCTGAAATCCTCCAGGTTTGTTGATGTTCTGCTCAGCCTTACTGTCTTTTACTATCCTGTGTGATACTTGGATGACAGCCAGGCACATATAAATTGCTCCCACTCATGCTCTCTCTGGCAGTTTTATGTGCCTTCCAGTACTTTCTAGCAGATATTTTAGGCAACAATTTATTCCTATCACAGGGTTTTTTTCTGTTTGCTTTCTTTTCCCTTTCTAAAAAGTACTACATCTCTTTGCCTAGAATTTACTCAGTGTTTTGGGATCCCTGTGGATCAATGGGTCAGAGACTGCAATGACAAAATCAAGGCTTTCTTATTATGCTTGAAGAAGCTATTAGGAGGCCATAAGACAGAGTCTTACTGCCTAATTTCAATGCTTTTACCACACTAAGGGTCAGAGAGTGGGCAGGACTTTGAAGCTAGAAGTGCCTATGTTGCCCTTGGGATATTTTGCTCAGTGCAGAGAGGAGACTCCCAATGCCGGATAAAAGGAGTGACACTCCTAGAAACACCTAATTCTCAATTTTCCTCTGGCTACCACAGATACATGCCAATAAACATCCATAACCTAACCTCTTTTAGGTATCAGCTTTTTAATTATATTTTCTCCTACACATTAAAAGAAAGACCAGGAAAAAGGAGGTGGGGGGGAGAAGAGAAATTAAATAATTTTAGGAGCCTCTGTCTAAAGAAGAAAATTAGCATTATGGAACAGGCTGAAGCTGGAGTCCCCCAGTCAAGAAATTAATTTTAGGCCATCTTAGAGTTCTTAGTTTCTGTCTTGCTGGGGATCATGTCATTTCAGATGGCAATCCTAGGGAATGCTGTGTCGCGGGGTTTTGAGAGCATAAAACTGACTCATGTCCCACTCCCAGCTGCTATTCACTCATGGCAGCAAAAACACCAATGGGCATTTTGTGGCCTGAGTTGTTGTTAATTGAACCCAAATATTGCAAAGAGCATCACTCAATCCCAGTTTAAGAGTTGATTAGATCACTGCAAGTCAAGCAGTTATTTACTAGAGCATATTGGTATTATTAGGGCATAGAAACATGCTACAAGTTTATCACTTAACCAAAAAAAAAAAAAAAATTGACACAATACTAATAAAAAAAAGCCCACAGAAATTCAGTTCTGGGACTTAGTTCTCTATTCCAGCAGATCTCTTTAAAATCCTATTTGTCATGTGTTCAGCCAGATATAAAATGAGTGTCAAAGCATACACTAGAGGTGAGTATTAGCAAGCTTGTCCCCATCCAATACCTATTGTATTAAATTCCTAATGATCTGTTTGATGAACTGTGAATCTGTGGTATCTTCACAGAGGTTGCTCTATTCCTAATTAATATTACACATATGCCACCCAGTTTGTTGCAATTTTCTTGCATGCTGCTCCTAAGCAACTCGGCCCTTTGCCTTTGTAGGTCACACAAATGGACCAGAAGCTGAACCTCATCACAGACATGCTGCATCATCTGGTTTCCCGTCAGCAGGGGGATCAGGGCAACAACAGGTCATCTCAGAGAGGCAACAGCAGCGTCAGTGCCGAGCTTTTCCTCCCTAACAACACCCTGCCCACCTACGAGCAGCTGACAGTACCGGCAGGGAACGAGGATGACATCTCCTGACGTGGTGCAAGGCTGGGTTGGGTTGTTCCTACTTTTCTCCTCTGAACGGGACTGAGTGTTGAGAACCAGGGAGAAATTAAGTTCATCAGCCAACCAAGAAATCGTGCAACTGCTGTATCCACACCACTAGTCTCAAACATGCTGAAGTTACCCACAGTAGCCAAAGGATTGCCGGGCTGTCTTCCACCAGGCAAAAAAACTTCTGGAAGCTCCACGATGATTTTGCTCCTGAACAAATGATCACAACTTATTTCTCAAAAAGACCAAAATGATGTAAAGACGGGCAAAATGGCAAGATTTAGAGCTCCTGTAATAATAATAATAATAATAGTAATAATAATATTCTAATAATACTTGAACTTAGACGGAAAAAAATGCATTCTGTTTATGAATCTGCAGATAGCAATTTATTTCTATTACTAAGGTTTTTAAAACAAACTAGGATAACTTATGTTGTTTTTATTGTATAAACATACACTAACATTCTAGACAATAACAAACCACATACTGAATGATTTTCTTTTTCTGTTTTATTTTAGTGTTACTACATAAACAGTTATCAGATAATGACCAGATTTTTAAAATCTGTTTTTCTTCAGGGAGGAACTAATCCTTAATCTGGAACAATACTATTTATAGTGGAAAGTGCTATAGATTTTCTAAGATATCAGTTTTTCATGGGGAGACAATAAAGTATTATATAGCAAAAAAATCATTCTGCTTTCTAGAAAATTGTTGCCAAAGAATTTATATATAAATAGAAAACACAGTGGTCTGAATGTACTTGTCCTGAGCATTTTAAAAGGAAGGCTTTCTACTTCTTAAATCTACTGGTTTTCAGCTTACAGATGCCAAGAATAATACTAGAGGCTGAAGTGGCTGGACTTCACTGGTCAAGTGTTTGAGCTGGCCACTCACAAAACATCCATAATCCCTGCAGGATTTCAGTTCAGGAAAGCATCTCTAATCCACACAGCACATACGGCAGTTTTAATGTTTTCTTGAATAACGTCTTGAGAAACTCAACCCCCTGCAAGAGTGGGTTGGTACTGACAAGTGCCAGCTCTTTATTTAGAGAATTGAGGGCCTCAGCTATGACCCATGGGGCTGAACCACACTGCCCCACAGGATGACTGCAATGAAACCAACAGTGTTGGCTCAGTGTGAGCTCTCACACACACAAGGTGAGCAGGAGTTGGGCTTTGATTACCACGGCTGAAATTACCAAGCCCTTGCAGAGACTCAGCACCTGAATTGTATCAGTCTTTAAAGCTGACAGCCTCAGGAAAAGCTCTTTAGTCCAGCCTGGTGGTAGTGGGACCTCAAACTGCTGGGGAAATGAGATGTAGACAGATTTATCAGCTCTTGCACTTTGAGCATCCTACACATCCAGTGCACCCTGTTCCCCTCACTGCAGAGCCTGTGCCCCACAGTGCTCTCCCTCTCCTGGGGGATGCCCTAGAGCCTCACACCTTGGCACAGCAGTTTATATGACCAGTCTTTTGACCAATATTACTAATCTGAAATACTGATGCATAATGAATTAGATCACAGGGAACCTTCTCATAGGGAACTCTCACATTCTGGGCTTTCTTTCCAACATTTCATCTCTTTGACTTGGACTGCAGACAAAGTCCTGTATTAAATATCCTGTATTTAACTTTCCAGATTCTGTTACAGTTATCCAGCCTCTCTGTTGTACACTAGATAAATGTTAAGAATGTAGAAATTTACAGGCATAAAGAAGAATTGTATCAGGGCATTATGTTTTCATGGAAATCAAAATTATTCTCATGATTTTGAACATTTTTTAAATGAGATTCACTATGTAATTTCAGGTTATCAATCAGCCTGTTAATTTCCTAATAAAATACAGGACAAGAGTGCCATGTCTTTTGGTTATTCTAAAATCCAGACACTTGATATACACAAGAAAGCAGATGGCTTTTCTTCTCCTTTCTCTCTTAGCCCACTGTTCAGTGTAAGTATACCTTATTTGCAATGCATGACTGTAAGGCTTCTGCTGATTCTTCACTAGAGAAATAAAAGAAAACCTGGACTTTATCAGCTGGGATGACTGGAGAGAAAGGTGTGTCACATTGCCCTGGCTGAAAGCAGACAGGTCTGTGCATTTCTAGGGGCATTGTTTCAAACAGAAAATGCTTCCATTCCTGCCTGTTTGTTCCCAAGACCTTACCTCCATTCTGTTTGACACCTAATCTTGGTGATAGCAGCATGGCACAGCAAACATGTAATGCAAAACATGATGTCCCTTTCTTGTCAGTTGTCTATAACCATCTGAAGGTCTTCATTGGAACCAGATTCATTGGAATCACCAGATTTTACAGGTTTTTGAGGCTGGTAGCCAGTTGTGAGGTCAGTGATTCCTCACCTGAGTCCAGCTGATCCTTTCAGAAAGTACAAAGCACTGAGATCTACTACTTCAAACCAAATCCACCTCATCCTAAGGAAAAGAAGATGATCCCTTTTCCCTGTTGAAGAGGGATGTAATAAAATGAACCACCCAAATTTGCCACGCAGCTGCCTGGAGCCAGCCTTCCACAAGGGCTCACCAGAGACAGATCTGACATCTCTGCTTGGAGGACTGCCTGGAATTATCTGCCCTGCTGGGGCTTCATATCTCAATGACTTCTCCTGGAAGCAGATGCCTCAGCATCTTTCTTGCCCAAAGAACAGAAGCAGTGGGAAGATGAGCTGAGCAGTCCAACACTGGAGCAGCCTGAAGTAGCCAGCATGCAGTGAGTATGTGTTTCTGCTAAAACCTTTCCTACTGGTGTCTCCTGTTTGGCTAAACTGTCCAGAGTGGGATTTTTTAAAGTGGGTAGGAAATGTTCGTAAATATCTTGAAGAGAAGCAAAGGAACTGTAAGGTAGGCCAAACCTTGACTTTATAGCTATCTGCCCCATTTTTGTGAGCTGTGTTAATGCATAAAATGCATCTGAAGCTGCAAAAGTAGCATCTTTCTTGGTAGTTTGGCTCAGTAGTAGTTTGCATTTCCAGACTGGTGTAAGTTAAGCTTCAATCCTCATCCCTGATGAAAAAAATAAAGTTAAAAAATAGTCATCTAAAAAAAATGTTAGCTGGCTTAGCTTCCCCAGCCTACTAGGGGGATGCCAGATGGATGCCAGATCTGGATGGTAGGAAGCCAAGGAATAGGGGAGGAGGCAGAACACGGGACTGCCCAGCTGAAGGTGGTGATGAAAGCTTACCCTGCCTCAGCCTGCAGCAGAGGCAGACAATGTGCAAGTTTGCAAAAGGAAGATCCACAGGAGGTAGAGAGAATTTTTGCAGGGGAGGAGTTTCAGTCCATGAGCAAAATCTGGACTCCTGTATTGGGATTCAAAAGACAGAAGCACTGCCTGGCATCAGCTTTAATCTGCAGTGTGACCTCAGGGCGAGTCATTTCACCTGCCTGGCCACATCTGCTGCCCCCTCTCCTGCACTCAGCCCACTTGTTTGTTTAGACCACAAATTCCTCGGGAAGGGAGGGCCCCTTTCTGTGTGTTTGCTCAGTGCCTACACAAAGGGACCTGTCCTCTGGGGACTGGAGGTACCACTCTCAGATAAATAATTACCCACCCTGGAGTCCTGCTACAGGCAAACCCTTAATTATTCTGAGCCCAAGGAGTTTCAGTTGGAAGTGCCTGATGCCAAACCAACAGTTAGAGGAGGCTGGGCTTAGGTTCCTTTCCACATAGTATCTTACAAAAGGAGATCAGGAGCCTGGCCATCACTCATTTTCACCCTTCTGCTTTAAAGCAGGTTCATTTCAAATAACACAATGGGCCACTGCTATGCTCAAATACTAGCTAAGGCAGAAATCTTTGGATGTCAGTGGATTGAACAGACATTTTACTACAGCAAATTAAGGTTTGTTGTTGCTAGCAGATACCTCTGGGCTGATTGATGGCCCAGAACCCATCAGTTCTGAGGAAGATGGAAATATTCCAGGCTGATGAGCTTTAACGGTCTGGCCAAAAAACAAGCTGCTTTTTTTAAAAAATTAAAAAATAAAACACAGGAAGATCTTCTTTTCTGAGAGTTTAAAGGAGAAAAGGTTAAAATAGTTTTAAGCTAATCCTCATGTACCCTGCTGAGATGGGGTTTACTAAGCTGAGGTGGTGGTTTGGGAAGAGCAGAGGCATTGAGATGAAAAAGAAAAGACTGAAGGTACGATGCAGCTCCCATGAAAATGTTCTTGTGCACTTGATTTATGTTGGTTTGGAGTTGGTTGTTGCCTGCAGTGGGACTGCTCAGTCTATGCAGGTCAATGTAAGCCTTTGGAAGTTGAAAATGTGCACTAAAGATGCCTTTCCATGGCTTTCAGTAGAAGCTGGGTTCAGCTCTGTAGGCAGCATTCCTTTCTTCATGGTCACAGAGCCACAGAACCATGTGAATTCACAAGTTTCTGCTTCCCATTTCTGTTTTCAAATTATTGGTTTCCAATATTCCTGCATGCCACTTGTGTTTTCAAGCCAAAATGATTAGAAATATTTCCTTCCACTTCAGTGGTGTGAGTCCTACTGCACACACACAACCCAGAGCAGCCTGTAAAATGCTCTCCAATTTCAATTTAAGTAGCTTCTGTAATGTTTTGCATCTTGGGTCTCCTGAGCAGCAGCAGCAGCTGTGAGGAAGGCAGCAGGTGGTTATGCCAGTAGGATGTGGAGGTGACACTGAGCTACATCCCAAGATGTAGCTGTGGAATTGCCACAAAGTGTTGAGTTCAGGTTGAAACTAGCATGGATTTCTGTGAACACTGGCTTTTTTGGTCTTGTCTGTGGGCTGACTTTGATGTCTAAGAAGTGTGAATTTCAGCTGAAGCTTTTCTTTTGTGGTTGCAGGTTTGTTTTCTGCGTGGTTCCCCCGATGCCCAACAGGACGTGCGTTCCTGTTCAGCCTTTCATCGTTGAGGATGTTGACAACACCAGGACCCTCTGTCTTCAGGGCCTATTTTCACAAAACTTATGAGAATTTAATTTTTTTTTCTAGACCTCTATCCTTCTGTCAAGTTGAATTGAACAAGGCCAACAGGTTCAAAAGTTATTAGGGGGAGGCAAAACAAACACAGCATGAGTGCATTAACCTTGTTTTCACAGGAACTGGGCTGAAAGTCCTCTCTCTCCCTGCCCAAACACAGAGGTCTGGAAGAAATGTAACCCTCACTTTGGAGTAGAAGACCACTTTTACCTCCTGAGGTGAGGAGGAGGCATGCAGGAGACATGTTCTAGGGTTTTGTTTGCTACTGCAAGGCTTGATGCACCTTGCCTTTGGATCAGCTA